CTTTATTAATTATTATAAAAGATAAATGTATATTTCGATCCTAATTTGGATCCTCTTCAGTATGAATTTAATATCCATAGAAAATAATAATCATAAACATCGCCACGAATATAAAAGTAACAATCGTCAAGAGTATCGATGTAAGATGATTCGCTTTCATTTCTTGGCGTGATTTCATTATTTACTAACATACCTATAGATCTAGCTTTGAAAGAAATGCGAACAGATGGTCTTTGATTGAAGAAACACTGACATCACTAAAAGTGAATTTTTTAAAGCCTTAAAATTAGTATTAAACTCCACATATTTTATTTATAATGACTAGAGTCCGGATTATCCGCCGACTGACGTACCGACTAGAATCAATTGTAGCGTGTTCCTCATTATTCTCTCTACTGCCACTCGCCCGAGCGACGGCGCTACGGCGGTGGGAGATGAGATGTATTGGGGAGAGCTAGTTACGGTTGATGCGATCTCAGGACTTTTTAGTCTGGACTCTAACAGTGACAAATTTTACAAACAAACTTTTAGAGTTTCTTTTATTCCCAATTATGGCGGATATAGTGATGCAGAACTTAGAGTCATGTTCCTTAAAAAACTTTCTATTCAATCGATTTTCTACTTCAAATACGTGAACGATATCGCTCTGGCACATGAGACGTCTTATATTGACGAACTTTTAACTACATTTAATTCATACCATCCTAGACTTTTCACTGTAGAAATTGGAAGCAACTTTTTAAATTTTTTAGATGTTTTAATTAAAAGAGACAATGTCACATTATACACGATTAGTACCATAAACCCATTTTCAGGACGATATTTAAATTATTTTTCTTGGCATCCTCTTTGTCAGAAATTGGGCACTATAATTAATTTAAAGGATGGATAGACCATGAAGAGACTACTGTAGTAATTTTGTTACCCATAGCGACAAGTATGGAAAGTGGGTAACCTTTTATTTCATGTAAAACATAAAAACAATACATATACAGGGTGTTTGAAAATTATCGAAATTCCTGTCACGAGCAGGTAGAACGGACCATAGTTAAATTATTGAAAACTTATCTTTCATGGTAAAATAACTATTCCAACTGTTTACGTGCGTGATACGTCCTCTTAATATATTTTGGTAATTGATGATTACAAAAATTAGATCAAATTTAATTTCCCCACCGATCGCACGGAGCGCGGGCCGCTGGGAGTGGGGATGGCCTGCTAGGCGTGCCGTTCGAGTCAAGACGTTTAGTGGCAGTTCCCACTCCCCGCGCGATTTAGAAATAATATCTCGATTATCGCGAAAATTGGGAAATGATCAAGAATCTTTTCGAAAACTCAGTTTAGTTCGTTCTAAAGCGTGCATATGTACATATAGAAAAATGTTACATAAATATTAATTGTTTCCAGTAAATAATAAGTGTATTTTAAAATTATATTATCAAACAAAATTCTCTATAAAGATAATCGTTACTCTAAAGAAGAATAAAAATTACGTCCATTTCCTTGTTCTGACATCTGACAAAGATTTTCAACTCACAACAATACAAGTTTCATATAACAGTATAGTTTGTAATAGCGTTGAACATGTCGAATTTTGTGTCTGGAAACTACGATTTGCGGATAGCATTGATTTTCTTTTACCATTTGAAGAAAACTGCTGCAGAATCGCATCGAATGTTTGTCGAAGCTTACGGTGAACATGCTTTTGGTAAATCACAGTGCTTTGAGTGGTTTAAAAAATTCAAAAGTGGCGATTTTGACGTGAGAAACGAAGAACGTGGAAAACCACTGAAAAAATTTGAAGACAGCGAATTGCAAGCATTGTT